ATATAAAGTGATACAACCAACAACAAAGAAACACTAAAAGACCTCACATCATCATCCTCGAGAGCAAAGACCTTCTGCAACTCACTTTCAATCTCATCACAATCTGAATATGAAGAAGAATCGTCAAAAGTCTGGCTAGTTGTTAACCCCTCAACTTCAGCTCTAATCATGCGATGTACTAGGCATACTCCATTAAAAAACCTAGGATAATGCATTCCTCTATACACTCTAGCTCTAAAGCCTTCACCATCATGTCATATAAGTGATCACGTGCTTCCTGAACATGATCCTAAATTATCATGTTGAATGCAACAGACTTCTTAAATTCTTCTATGACTCTGATAGGTGATAGTTTTGATTTGGACTTAGCCTCTTTCTCAGATAATAGGCCATCTCTTATTCTCATTATTAAGGGCTGTTATCTTCTCCTCAAGGATCTGCTGATATTTTACATGTTGATTGATCACCACTTATGCGTCCACCAACTTAATTTGGATGTGACTATCTATTGATTTTATAAAGAGGCTGAAGTTGCCATAGTAACCAATTATACTATGCACTTTGCTAGCTGCTCCTCCACTGCCTTCATCTCCATGATCTTGCCATCATACTTCCTCTTGTACTCTTCTTGAAGATACTTGACCTTCACAAACTCATTATTCCAGTCATTCAAGGCTTTGGTTAATTCAATTTTAAGGTCCATACATTGTAGCAATTGAAATAATAAGAAAAATTTTGTAAGGGACATATCCTTATAATAGTGTAAAAAGAAAAATAAAAAAGAAATGGGAACTCACTAGTTCATTAGCTCGTCGACGTCTAACACATTAATGTTTTAAAATATCTTATGAAATGTGTAACTTGGATGGAGAAGAATTGTGACCTTTGCTAGTAACTATCAAAATGACCTCCACCCTTTTCATCTTAGATGATGCAAGTAGATCACCATCATTCCCTAATTATTTAGGGAGAACCTTTGAATTGTGGACAACAAAATATGGGACTTTTGCTGACTTCTTTAATATGTGTGCATAAGACCTCCCTACCTAAGTAGATAGTCCCACCTTGAAAAAATACTCCTCCTATACATACTTGCTCAAATAACATACCTCACGGTGAAGGGTGCCTATATCAGAAAGGTTGAGTATCTTTAGTATATCTTCTGCTCCAACATGAAGGGGAATGGGTAAATCCTTTAACTTTCCCATTTTTCTAATGGAATCCAATCATTTTGCATGAAAAAGAATCCACTAGCCCAACTCTTCGATGGATCTCGAGTGTGAATATCCAGTCATTTGGATCTGAAAGTGATATGACCCTACATATCACAAGTAAGTTGACCCATCTGAGAAAAGCACTTTGTGGACAACACCGCACCACAATATCTATGGAAATAATCAATCCCATTACAAATGATATGGATCTATAAGAGAATTGGGACAAGCTTAGTCCATATGTCAATGAAATATCAATCAACTTTAGGGGAGGTGGAAATCATAGCCCTGCTCGTAAATTGAACTCATTAATAGTCAAAATATTTAAAGGAGGAGAACATGCACAATCTAAAGTTTAGGCATCTTTATTACAAGATCATTGGAGAAATGAAACTTCTTCTTGAAAATGATTAAAGAGTCAATGGTTATGGTGTAAGCCACATCATCAGTCTTGGCCACCTTGTGAGATTTCTTCAAACCTTCAATCTAGGCAATAGGATGATCTCCTTTAGCCAAGGAATTTTGGTGGAGCCATTGTCACCCATCCGAGCTTCACACTAAAGAGGGGCACTGAATTTGAATAGGGGATGCCTCTAAAGTAAGAAGAAAAATGCATAAGGGAGGAGAGGAAGGCTGAAAACTCAAACTTCTATAGAAGAGAGGGGAATTTGTAGATGATAGGGGATGCCACCTATTCAAGACACTAGAAGGCCTCAACTATAAGAAACTTAGAGAGAGAAGAGAGAAGAGGAGGCGTCGAACTGGCGTCAGCAAGACCATGTAGTCAGATGCAGGCACACATAGTAGGAAGCCCGGCAGCGTAGGTAGGAGAGCATGGGCGCATGAATAGTTGGGCAGACGTGATAGCACGTGGGTAGTCGGGCATGCGTGTAATGGACAGCACGGTGGTGACGACCAGTCGGTTGGTTCAGCCCAACTTATTTCCGAGCCTAATTTTTAGTCCATACAAGCTATTCAAAAATTTTTGGGTTCCCTGGAAATATTTTTTGACGTTACAAAGACAATTTTGTCACTTTTGGAGCTATTAAGGAGCTCTACGGACATGATCAAGCCATTCAAAAATTTTGAACCACATCAAGAGTTTATCAAAAGCTATGATTCATTTTTTCAGACTTCTAAGGCTTTAAATTCTAAAAATAGGGGGAAACTAATACATAATCACAAATTATCTTGTTCGAGCATGAATCTCGTGGCTAAATCAGGTTGGAAACTTTCAAAATTAAATCCAGAAACATATGAACTCCAATCTCAGGAAGCTTATAGTCAAACTAAATGTCTCAAAAAGATGAACCCAATGACATAAAATTCAACTCAATACGAGCCCAAATGAGTCCAAATTGAAGACCTGGAGCACCTTTGGAATGTTCAAACCATAAATTGGATGAACAAATGATATCCAAACGTGATATGTTTATAGTAAAATTGACCAGCTCATTGAGATGAATCCAACGAGCCCAAGATCGTCAGATTTTGATATAAGTAAGACATTCAAAGGTCTAATAAACTATCCACGATCAAGACGATCAATTTTGGTCGTCCATTCGAACCCCTCCCAATATACCCTTAATCTCCCTCCTATTTACTGGCCATGCCACTCCAAATAAAACTATAAATAGGCCCCTCATTCTTCATTGAGGGGGACCCAAGCAAGGAAGAAGAGAAGGAAGAGCTCTCTTCCAACCAGACTCCTCGACAACCGCCCAGCCACTGATCTTCATCGGTGAACCTTCGTCGTCTGTTGCCGGACCACCAGCTGGTCACTGATCATCATCAGACTTCCACCAGATCACTGATTGCCATTGTACTTCATCTCGGCCACCAACCGATGACAGATTTACATCCGACCATCGATCATCACCAGATTTTCATTTGATTCATATTCGTTGCTAGATTTTAGCCTATATGTTGACTATTGTAATCTAATCACCCTCAAGTTCAAGGATGAGTCAATTATTTATAATTTATTCAAATACTAGAGGATCAATTTTGACTGGGCATGGCCCCGTGGTTTCTCCCTTCAGGGTTTCCATATGAAAAATTCTGGTATTTCCACTCTTTCTTTGTACGATCTGGTTACTCATGCAATGCTAAGTAGCATAGTTTTTTCTACTTTACCGTCATGAATATTCTATCCTACAATAATATTTATGTTAAAGTATTACTCTTTTTTTATCTTGAGTGAAATAATTTTGTATTATACAGTTTATGCACTTTGTAAATCTAAAATGTCAATAGAGAGTATCATCTCAAACCAAATTTTGGTAATCTGAGGACCATACTTCTAGATAGGAAAGTATTTTTCTTAATAGATTGAAAGAAGCACTCTTTATGTATTATTTATCAATAGAATTAAGTGTACAAATAAATTGAAACGTTGAATCCAATTCTTTGATATAAAAGGGCATGATGCACTTTAGTTTTAATAAATAGGGTATTTAATTACTACTAATAAATATGGCTTTCACAACACATTTTCTTACCTATAGCAGCGGTTTAAATCACTGCAAAATTATTTGCAGCGGTTTAAAATTCGCTGCACATCCGCTGCATCTGGGTTCGCTGGTAAGGCTTTAGCAGCTGTTTTGAAAGTGCTGCGGTTGAAAGGATATAGCAGCGGTTTAAAAGCACTGCTGTAGGGATGCTATTGCAGCTGTTTAGAAGCGCTGCTGTAGGAAAGCTATAACATCACTTTTTAACAGGTGTTAAAACCGTTGCTAAAGGGTAGGAGTGATTAAAAAATATATATAATGAAAAAAAATCATTTTTTATGATTAAATAATATATAAGAAATGTCAAAATTGATGCTTCAACATATATAGAGTTAAATGAATACAAGCTGTTCTCAATGGCTAATACAAAGACTTAAAATATCCAAAAATAAATACAAAAAAAATAATTCTCCAAAAAAGCTCAAACTATTAAAACAAGACATTAATTTGGATAAATATTAAAACAAAAAAAATGGTGAACTCAGTAGCTAATATAAAGTAGTTTTTGACCACTTCAAAAGAGGCATTTTTTCTCTTGATCTGAACCATTTGGGCAATCTTCTCAGCAATAATCTGTCAAATAGTAAAAAACATATTTCAATTTTTACTTTCTTTACGTAAATCATTTAGATTTACCCTAAATATAACTATATTATCATAAATTTGTAAGTGTCACTAAAGCCAATAAGGAGAAAATTTGGCTTAGCAGCTTTATGAAGGAACACCTTTGTCAAACACCTGAAATAAGAGAAATAAGATGAAATAGATTTCTATAAAAAAATAGGCAGGATTTTCTACCGTGATGGATCCAGATAAATTAATCCTGTAATAAAATAAGTCAGGCATAACTTTAAAGCAAAAACCTGATGAAACACATGGATTTTGAAGATAAGTCCCAAAAACTCTATTCCCAAAACGTCACTTCGAGAATTTCTGCAAACTCAAAGAAATATTCTTAAAGAAACTTTAAAGAAGAGGGCATATAATGCAACAAAGTATGAACCACGTGATTCCATGCTTAATAATGGAACAATATGCCTACTCCCAGAAGAATAAATTACGCAAGCCATCATACAAGTTCCATCCACAAAGTCCACAGATGCCGAATTTAAGAGAACTACCTCACAAAGTTTCTAAAGCAAATCCTTACAAGAATCAGTACAGAGCATCCAAAATTAATAACAGAATACATGCGATCTAGAGCATGAAATGAACTCCATGATTTTGAATATTTTACAACCTTCATAGAATTAGTATTTATACAAAATGCATGCAGAAAACAAAGCTTTTATTAAGTTAAAACAGTGTAGTACTCATCACCATTGCACATGAATAATTGCATCGCAAACTTTCAATCGATAAGCATCTAGATGTGCTACCATTTCATCAATTAGCTCCCGTAACTATAGAAGTGACAATGGCAAGGTTCCTTTTTTTTCATTGTGAAACTCAAGTCCACCCGGACACCATATTAATGGCTAGGTTGAAACAGAATACAACCACTCTAATCAGATAAAAGCATTATCTGAGAGAAATTATAAATCACTTGCTCCCCAAGCCTCGAAGGACCTGTTAAGGAAAACCACAATTTATCACCAACATGAGAAAACTTCTGAATCTACCTTGTTGTTGACCAGTTCGCCAATCCTTGATCAATGCCACTTCAACAACATCACCGTGTTCCTCAAATAAAGGGCGAATCTGAGCAAAAAAAATATAAACAAGAAAAACTGAGGCCGAGTAAATTGGCACAACAAAGCCAGCTCCAAGAGCTACACACTTGAAACAAAAGGCATGGGATCATTTTATTAATTAGAATTAAAAAAGGTAGTAAAGTATAATGGGAAGTGCAAAATAAAAGTTGATTTTTATTCCGTGCGAATAAAAAATTAAATTTGCACATGAATAATATTGGTGTAAAAAACGTTCAGAGAAAAAAATGATGGGAAATTTGTTGGAAGTAGCAGAAGATCAATGCTTATCATAAAAGAATTGTTAAACTCATATGACAGATCCACTTAATTTGACATAAGTTGCACAAGATCAACACATACTAGAAATTATTCTTAAAATTCAAAAATGAATAATTTATTAGATTCCATCATTTGGTAGAATTAGATAGTAATCAATGAGGATTTTTCAACTCTTCAAAATCCCTCAAGAACGATGAGTTTACAGTTCACACTCAAAATGACTGAAAAATAAAAAATTACTTTATAAAGTTTTGTTAGAATGCAAGGTTTTAAGCTATCCAGCCCCAAGTAGAAAATCAACACCATGGATGCGATTCATAAAAAAGAAAACCAAAAATCATCATACAACCATCTAATAATTTATGCTTCATCATTTATGCTTGTAAGTAAATTTATCTTGAATGTGGATCTTATTCATCATTTATGCTTCGTCATTGTATATTCTTTTTATCATGCCATTTTTAGGAGGTCTGTGAGTGAGTATGAGCTTGTAGTAGTTGTCTTGATTCTG